ACGCGGGGCGGGGAGGGGGCTGCAGAAATTTCGGTCCCGGACCTTGCGCGCCAAAGCGGGTCGTTCGCATCCAGGATGGGTGGGAGTGACAGTGTTCCCCACGACCACCCGCCGCAAACACGTCTTCTGCTCTTAACCACCGGGATGGTGCCTTCTCGCTAGTTGCTCCTAACTTGTTGCTTACCTGGGGCTGCAGTCCTTGACGCCAACCTTGTCCTTCTCCCCTTCCGTAGCGGCGGCCGCGAAGTGGAAACCGAGCGCCGAACTTCCCTCTGTCGTTCTTCCCCAGCTACTGCCACCCCCCGGCCCCCCGCCCCCTCCCGCCCCGGACTCAGGAAATCCCGGAGGCTGCCTCCGGCCCCCGCTCGCCCGCCTCGGGTGACCTCGCGGGCTCACGCCAGTTCCGGAGCTCTGAGCGGCTGCCTTGGCCCAGGGAAGGAACCGGGCTCCGGGAGCTGCCTGCCTCCCGTTTGCTTCCCTGGCCATTAGCGAGAGCGCCGCGATCGCACCGCGTCTCCCTATGAGTAAGCACTTTTTCCCTTTCGGTAGCTCAACATCGCCGGGCCACTGGGGCAGAACCTTTCGGTTCCCCAATCTCCCCGGACCCCTCGGTCCGCGCCCTGCTCGGCTCCTCTGGCTCTGCAGCCGCGAGCGCGCGGTCGGGGCAGCGCGGGACCTCTCGGGGCTCCCGGGGGAGGCAGAGCGGCAGGGGCAGTGGGATGGGGGGGTGATCTCCCCGCCCCCCAGCTGCACTTGCCGCTGTTGACTTTCCTCCACCCGCAGTACTTAAGCGCTCTAATAAGAGGCGGGGGGACGCTGACCACCCCCGCCCTGGCTTCTTGCCAGTCCCAAAGTTGCCGCCACCGCTGCTACCGCTCGTACCGCGCTGGCGGCTCCAACGGCCCGGCTCCAGGACAGCAGAGGATCCCAGGCTGGGAGGTGGCGTGGGGTGAATGCTCTCTGACACTTGCGCGACGCGCTGCTTCTTGCTCCTCACCGGATCTGCACACCATCCCTACGGGTGCAGGTTGAGGTTAGAACTAACTGTGTTGGAGAGCCTCGCCATTTAGGATCCGACGGACGGGATGCCGGGGGTGCCCGGCCTGTTACGAGGGAGGGGGTGGAGGGGAGGAGAGCCTGGCTGGCCGCACAGCAGGTAGAAAACGTGAAGTGAAATGACAAACTCCTGAGAGGTAAGCACTTACGCCACTTGACTGATGTCACACTGTGTTTGGGAGCCTCAACTTGATCCTGGAGATGCGGTTTACAGTGAATTCCAGCGAAGTGGCCGAAGTCCCACACTTGCTGATTGGCATCACGTGCCCCAAGTCTCTGATGCCCCTAGGGTAATGGTCACATGACTTCTTTTGCCTTGAAAACTGGAATGTAGTGGCTGGAGCCCATTTTCCAAAAACTACCACGACAAAAAAAAAAAAAAAAAGGAGAGGGGGAGTGTGAATCTAGCCTCTACTCCAGGGAATTCTACTTGGATTTGGAGGAGGGGAACAGAAAGGGAATTTGGTGCTCCGATTTTATCCAAAATAAAAAACCGGAGCTGTTTTTAAAATAAGGGCTTGAAATCTCTGTGCCGGGACAAATATCTCCCCGGTGGCTTTCCTAAATGTAAAAAATATCTTAGTAATTATTTTCTAGGAAAATCGTCCTTTAATTCACACCCACTTCATCCCTAGAGGATAGTTTTGAAGCCATATTCCTTAAGATAGTGTTAAAAAAAAAAATTAGGATTTACCCGTATTCCTGGTTCTGGCCTATATTCTGATTGAACTGTTCTCTTTATTAGGCATCTCCTTGAAGGTGGTGGATCATTTCTTGACTAAAATTAACCACCAGTTATTTGTGGGTTGCAATTAATTGGATCAGAAATCAGGCACAAAAACAGTGGATCTTAAATCTGATAAATCTAGCTGGTTGGGTTTTTGCCTGTCAGTATCTTGATGGAATAATGAGAGGCCCCTGAAACAGCTCCCTCCTGTGATGATGACCAATACCTGCCCATGTGGCCCAAGTTAAGATTGCTTTTGGAAAAACGTGGCAGTTCTGATATTCAGATTATATTTTGCAGAGTATAGAAATGGGCAGAGGAAAAAAAAGAAAAGCAACAGGCAGAGGAGTCTCTGAGGTCAGGAGTTTAAAAGCTTTACTTATTTACAAAAATGGATCCAGTTGATACAGATTCAGCTTTGAAACTAGGGCAGCTATAAATGAAACGGGAACATTTAAGAGATGTTGGCTTTGTGTGCATTAGCCAAAAAACCCCTCCGTCTACTGCAGCAACCTCGGAATGACTCGAGCACTCCATTTTTGTGCTGTGCTGGGGTTTCTGAGCCTAAAAACTAGAACTCCTTGAAAGCATATAGTTCTGAACTCAAGGCTAGCCTTGTGGCGCAGATTTGCTCAAAGTGGAATTAAGCTGCACCTGAGTTATTGTAGTTAAACTACACTGGTAGATAGACCCCCCTAGTGGAAGTGAGGTGATAACAGAATTTTAGATTGAACTCCTAATACATATTTTAACCTCAAAGAGAGAGTACCACAGTCCGATGAGGTTAAAGTGGTAGGGAGATGAGCTCTTTTTAAAATATTATTAACTCACATCAAAACAGGATCATCACTAGGTTCTCAGTCTATGGAGCATTTCATTGTCTTCAAGTGTCCACTCATTTAAAACCACTGACTGTCACTGACTTAATGGGGGGGGGCAGCTATCATTTCATGAACTTGGGTTTTTAGTAAGATGAGGGGGTTGTGAGTCTAATTCTTAATCTCTACTGTTAGATCTAGCAATTTATCAACCTCTTTCTTTACCCGAGGTGGGGAGCCAAGCAAATTATGCTCTGCCTTGACTGAGTACAGACACTCAGCATTCAAGTCCAGGGTCTCCAGTCTGATGCCATCATTTAGAGCCCATTGCTAAAAATGTCTAGGCTTATGGCATTTGGGGTAGAAGGATTAATTATAACTGGTGAGTAATATTTTGGTTGTGATTACATCTCTTCTACAAATGGTTACATGCACATTAGACTTGACTATTTATATTGGCAGAATGTCAGTATCCAGGGCACTATCAGAAACCAAATGAAATTTTGCTCCTAGGCAAACCGCATGACTGTTGCTGAACAGAAAGGGGAGCTTGGCCATGGTGCCTGAGAACTAAAGTGATTCTGGTGAAACCGACAGGGGGAAAAAAGGAAGAAAGGCCACTTTCCATTATTCCATGTTCTGTTTTAGGCATCGTTTCTACTAGCCTTTCCAAGAAATTTACTGACATGATATTCTTACCACAGATGATAAATTCAGGAATCTGCGATTGCATTTCATGAGCACAATCTAGGCGAAATGTGAACGCTAAACTCTTTTTGCTGTTTAGTACAGATTCCAAAAGTAGCTGGTGTAAAAATGAAAATGAGCATCTATCGAAAGACAACAATGTAGGTATCTGCTTTTAAAATCACTTCATATTTGCTCATGTGATAATTTTTTCTGTTGGTTAAAAGCAATCCAGAGAGGGAAAAATTTGATCTGTGAAACTAATAAAACACAGTTTGAAAGAAAACGGCTAGATCGTGTTTTGAGTCTGGGTAATTATTCTAGAGAGTGATCTACCATATATTTGTTCATTCAATGTGTTGGGAGGTTTCAGAAGCTTTTTGGATACATTACACATTGGAAGCTCTTTTTTTTAATATTTTATTTATTTATTTGAGAGAGAGAGAGAACAAGTGGGTGGAGGGACAGAGGGAGAAGAAGCAGACTCCCTGCTGAGCAGGGAGGCTGATGCAGGGCTCCATCCCAGGACCACAGGATCATGACCTGAGCTGAAGGCAGATGCTTCACCGACTGAGCCACCCAGGTGCCTCCTGGAAGCTCTTTTAGATACCAATGGTCAGGACTAGCTGTTATTAGTTATGATACAGCTTTGGTTAGTTATGGCTTAGAAATATAAAAAACTGTCTAATCATGAAATGTCATTCTCAGCAGGTCATAATTCTTGAGACCAACTCACTGTAGTTATGAAGGTGAGGCACTGTCAAATTCAATATGTTTAATAATATCTAATTTGCCTTAATCTTAGCACTTGAAAGACAAATGTTAGAATAAAATGTTTTAGGGAAGAAAAAACATGCTTTTAAGTGAAAATTGAAATACTAAGGGAAAAATATATTGGACTTACCTTCAAAAGAACTAGATTTTAGACATGGCTCCTGACTCATAGTTCGACCTTGAGAAAGTCACTTAAAATTATTATATTGATAACACATCGAGTACATTATGCATCTTCTCATTTATACAGTTGAGGGCATGGCTCAAGGTTTTTGGTTTGCCGGGATTTTTTTTTTTTTTCCCCAAATAGTTGTAGCCTGGCTTATTTCAAAATGTTGATATTAGTTGATTTTTCAAATTTTAATGCACCTGTGTAGAACCAAGCTAACTACCTTGTTGGCAAATTGGTAGCTATGGCAGGAAGACGTTCACCAGTGGCCTATTCCATGACTCATGTTAGTTCTTTAAAATATAGAGGTACCATTAACATCATTGCTTAGCCAGGATTTTGGCGCATTAAACCTACTGATTTTGTATTATGAGAAAACTTAACTTTTCTTAACGGTCTAGAAGTTTGTCTAAGGGTAAGGAGGTAGTGTCGTTCACTGGAAAAGGCATTGAGCATGGAATCCAAGGGCTTGGAGTCCTCTGCAGTTTGGACATCTAGGCCATCGTCAGTAAATCACACAAGTTCTCGGTGTCCAGATGTGGATTTTACTTTATTTAGCCA